CAAAGATTCCAAAAGTCCAAGAGTCCAAGAGACCAGAGTCCAAGATTCCCAGATTTCAAGAGTCCAATATTCCAACAGTCCAGAGTCCAGACTCCAGAGTCCAAGAGTCCACTGTCAAAGATTCCAAAAGTCCAAGAGTCCAATAATCCAAGAGTGCATAGTCCACAAGTCCAGAGTCCATACGTCCCAGAGTACATAAGTCCAAGAATCCAATAGTCTAAGAGTCCAGAGTCCATCAGTCCAGACTCCAGAGTCAAGAGTTAAAGAGTTCAAGAGCCAAAGAGTCCAAGAGTCAAGAGTCCAGAGTCCAAGAGTCCATGTGCCCAAGACTCTAGAGTCCAATAGTCCACAGTCAAGGAGTCCAAAATTCCAAGAGTCCACAGTCCAAGAGGCCAGAGTCCAAGAGACCAGAGTCCAAAAGACCAGTGTCCAAGATTCCAAGAGTCCAAGAGTACAGAGTCCATAATTCCAGAGTCCATAAGTCCAAGAGTCCAAAGTCCAAGAGTCCAGAGTCCAGAGTCCAGCGTCCAGAGTCCAAGAGTCCGTCAATCCAGACTCCAGAGTCAAGAGTTCAAGACTTAAAGAGCCAAAGAGTCCAAAAGTCAAGAATCAAGAGTCCAAAGTCCAAAAGTCCAAGAGTCCAAGACTCCAGTGTCCAAGTGTCAATGAGTCCAAGACTCCAGAGTCCAAGAGTTTAGAGTCCAAGAATCCAGAGTCCAAGAGTCCAGAGCCCAAGAGTCCAGACTCCAGTCCAAGAGACCACAGTCAAAGATTCCAAAAATCCAAGAGTCCAAGAGACCAGAGTCCAATAGTCCAAGAGACCAGAGTCTAAAATTCCAAGAGTCCAAGATTCCAAGAGTACAGAGTCCATCAGTCCAGAATCTAGAATCAAGAGTTCAAGAGCCAAAAAACCCAAGACTCCAGAGTACAATAGTCCAAGAGTCCTCAATCAAAGAATCAAAAAGTCCAAGAGTCCAGAGTCCAATAGACCAGAGCCCAATATTCCAAGAGTACAGAGTCCATAAATCCAAGACACCAAGAGCCTTATGTTCAAGAGTCCAGAGTCCAAAAGTCCATAAGTCCAAGAGTCCAAAAGTCCAAGAGTCCAGAGTCCATCAGTTCAGACTCCAGAGTCAAGAGTTCAAGAGCCAAAGTGTCCAAGAGTCAAGAGCCCAAAGTCCAAGAGCCCAAGATTCCAGTGTCCAAGAGTCAGTGAGTCCAAGACCCCAGAGTCCAATAGTCCAGAGTCCAAGAGTCCAAAGTCCAGAGTCCAGAGTTCAAGAATCCAGAGGCCAAGAGTCCAGACTCCTTAGTCCAACAGGCCAAGTGTTTAGAGTCCAGAGTTCAAGAGTCCAAAAGTCCAGAGTCCGAGTTTTGAGTCCAGAGTCCAAGAATTTTGAGAGTCCAGATCTTGCTGGATAACATTCTGATCCATTATGATACAAGTGGACCACAACACTGACTGAACATCTTCCAGGACTCCCCTCGGACATGACAACATCACACAGGAGACACACAGGAAACATATAGAGACACAATCCACCTTTATCTGATGAACTTTTATCTTCTTTCGTTCTTTCAGAGTCCAGTGAAGATGCATCCTTCGACCTACAGGACACAGAGAGAAACGAGTGGACATCAGCAGGACACAGAGACATGAATGGACATAAGCAGGACATAGAGATAGACGAGTGGACATCAGTAGGACACAGAGAGAGACTAAATGTTTTCAGACCCTTTGTGTTTTAAAGTAATCAGAAGTTTTTCCATCCATCCATCCATTAGCTTCTACTTTTTCTGAAGTCAGGTCTCAGGGACAGCAGCTTGAGCAGGGAGGTCCAGGCATCTCTTTCCACAGCCACCTCTTCCAGCTCTTCTGAGAGGACTCTAAGGTGTTACCAGGCCAACTGAGAAACAGTCTCTCCAGCATGTCTTCCACAGGGTCTCCCCTCACAGTTGGACATGCCCAAAAAAACTCCCTACAGAGGCACCCAGGAAGCATCCTTACCAAATGCCTGAACCACCTCAACTGTTTCCTCTCTTGACAGCCTTCCTAACCTGAGATATCCACCACCGAGTTTGAGGACATCCTCCGCAAGAAGCACCAACAACATTGCAGCCACAGCTCAAGACAGCTACTTCAACAATTGAAGTGCGGAACATGGTCCACTTGGACTCAATGTCCCCCACCTCCACTGAGATACAACTAAAGTTCTCCCGGAAGTGCGAGTTGAAGATCTTTCTGATGGGTCCTTCTGCCAGGCATTCCCAGCAAACCCTGCACTACACATTTGGGTCTTCCGGGTCTGTCCGGTATCTTCCCCCACCATCTGATCCAACTCACTTCCAGGTGGTGATCAGTCAACAGCTCAGCTCCTCTCTTCACCTGAGTGTTCAAAACAAATGGCCGCAAATTAGATGACATGACTACAAAGTCAATCATTGATCTACAACCTAGGGTGTCCTGGTGCCAAGTGCACTTATGGACACCGTTATGTTTGAGCATGGTGTTCATGATGGACAAACTATGAGTAGTACAGAAGTCCAACAACAGAACACCGCTTGAGTTCAGATCAGACAGGCTGTTCCTCCCAATCACGCCCCTCCAGGTCACACTGTCATTAACCGAGTGTGCATTGAAGTCCACCAGCAGAATAAAGGAATCCCCAGCTGGCACACCTTCCAGCACCCCAGCCAAGGACTCCAAGAAGACTGGATACTCTGAACTGTCATAGGCACAGAAAACAGTCAGAGCCCGTTCCCCCAACCATAGGTGAAGGGAAGTCACCCTCTCATCTACTGGGGAAAACTCCAATACACAGAAACCAAATCAGGCAACCAAAACTAGACCCAACCAAGCTTGACACCTCTCAACATGGGCAACTCCAGAGTGGAATAAGGTCCAGCCCCTCTCAAGGAGATTGGTTCTGGAGACCATGATATACGTTGAGGTGAGCCCAACTATATATATTGCTAGTATCACTCAGCCCTCTGTGAATAGTAAACAGCCATCAGTGTGCTAATGATCCATCGTTAGGCTGATGGTCCATCTTGATCATGTGAGCAGCTGGTTTTGGTTGTCAGCAACAAAACTGGTTGATCCACTCTGAGAATGTGCTATTTAAGAGACTGAGCTGAATACAGCACCTCAGAATGAGGAAGTCTTTTGGATGAAAGGCGAAACGTTTCTACATTTTTTTATTTATTTTATTGCTTTGTTTTGTTTTTTGAATGTCCAGAGGACCAGGTTTAACTTTTTTGATTTTTCTACCTGGATTAATGAGCATGCATCAGGAGACCAACTATATCTTGTCGGTACCTCTCAACCTCACGCACAAGCTCAGGCTCCTTCCCCACCAAAGAGGTTACAGGGACATTTACAATTGCCCTGGACAGCATAGCTCCTAGGATCATTCAGATGCACAAACTCCTCCACCACGATAAGGTGGTGATTCAAGGAGGAAGGAGTTTTGTTTGCTGTTTATTCAACTCTCTTCTAAACCAAGATCATGGATAAACTCCATGTTAGTAATGGTTCTGTTCGTCATAATGACTCAAATCAGGCGACTCACTTCAGTTTTCAAATCATCCTGCACGTTTGAAATGCCCTCACATGGTCAGGACAAAAAGAAGACATACACTACGGCATTAGTGTCACAACGTTTACCGATGGTAGTGAGGGACGCCTGGACTTTTTCATCAGGGATATCATGAGGGGCTCTGGGGTGTGTGACTGTCTTTTTTACACACTGAACTCCATGGGTTTGTTTTGACGGCATCAAATTTTATCACAAAATACAACTTGATGTAGTAACAAAGAGGCTACTCTGAGAAACCTGCCAGGTAAAAAAGAACAAACAGAAAATAAAAGCTTCCCTACAAACACCACATCTGTATCTACAGATCACGAGTCCACCATTTGTCCACAGCATTTAGTCCAATGAGCAAAGGACTTTAACCAAATCCATTATGGTTGATAGCTAAACCAACAAATAATATGAATGTCAACAACAAAACGTTTGTTCTTTTTTCTGAGTATGTTGCCAATCTATTTTTGTTTCAAGCTTTGTGTTGCATTGCCATAACTTTGCAAGAGTTTGTGCTTTCAGAAACTCTCCAACGGTTTCTGAAACTCCTGATAAATTACTGATGTGTGTATTTCACCTGATAAATCACTGATTT